GCCGCTCCGCAGGAGAAAGATGAAACTTTCTGCTCCCATAAAGATTTACAGCCTTGGAAACACTGTTCAGGGTCACTATGAGTCAGTCGGAACCGACTCCACAGCTCATAACAACAACAACATGCTGGGAGTCCTGGTGTGGCGCTGTGGGTTACTGTGCTGGACTGCAGGGTCACTTTGAACCACAAGGATGTCAGTTCAAGCTCACCAGCTGCTACTCGGAAACCCTATACAAGGTCGCTATGGGTCGGCACAGACTCAACAGCTCTTAACATGCTAGAGTGGCGATGTGGGTTAATGAGCGGGACTACAAGGTCAGTTTGAACCTTAAGGTCAGCGATTCAAGCTCACTAGCCGCTCCTAGGAAACCCTACAGAGGGTCGCTATGGGTCGGAACCGAGTCGACAGACGGCACTTAGCAACAACAACACGCGGTCGTGTGCTAAGTCTCAATGCTTTCTTTCTACACACGTCCTCATGTAAACGAAATAGCCCATTTTACAGAAGGGAAAACTATTGTCTCACCGTTTCTGAACTCTTAATCACGTCTCCAGCTTGAGATTAAGAATACAGAATGTGAAATTAGGACACACATGGGGTCATCACAGACCTGTAGTGTGACCGCCACGAACCACACCATCATTCTTTCTCTCATCTTTAAAGTAAGATCAACGTTCACAACACCCCGACAAGGCAATCGAGAATCAAGGGCTTAAACATGTTTTTCGTCTCCAAAAAAAAAAATCGATGTGCACACTCTGATATCAGAGTATGGAGATTTACACCTATATGTCAAAGAAATGCCAGCACATAAGGCCTTGTGAATAAATCTCAGTTTACCACGAGACCCTATACTTAAAAACCAGTCCAAGGTCACTTCACCCTCTAATTCAGTACAGTCAACATAACTGCATCGAAGACGACTACAGTAAGGCATGTACCCCGCATCAGTTCTTCATGGAGATTAATGGGAACTTTCAATATGAGAAGATGTGAAGTTATTCATTCCTTAACGGAGAGGAAAGCGGGGACCGAAGCGGCGCGCTCCACGCCCTGACCGCTCTGCCCGGCAGCCCTCACTCTCCACCCCGCGGATGGCCCCGGGATACGGTCGGAAGCAACAAGGAGGCGATCACGAAGATGGCATTGAGCGAGGAGCAGCGGCTCGCAGCTCCGACCCTTCCCTTCCCACCCAGTGCGGCTCCTGCCTCCTACACGGCCGCCAAACGGTGCTGTCCAGGGTCGGGGACTCACCGACGGACGCCATCTTGGAGTTCTGGGTGTCCGCTGTGTTGGGCCGCGCGGGGGCTGCTGGGTAGGGAGCAATTGCGGCGGCGCGGCTGGCAACAGAGGCTCACGGGAAGTAGGTCGTGACTTCTAAGAGGCTGGGGTTACCAGAGCCACGTGCGTTTCAACGTACCAGCCCTCTGGTGGTTTCTCTAGCACAGTGATGCCTCACCACCATCCTGTTTTATGGAAAGGCTACAAACTGGTGTGAATAAGCAAAGACTTGGATAACTGGACTTCATTTTCTTGGTTCTGCCGTTCTGACGTGTGCAAAAACTTCAATCCTCTGACCCCCAGTTTCCATCGCTGTAAAATAGGGGTATAATGCTTAACCTGCACCCTTGTTTTAGGAATTAAATAAAACGGTCTAACTTATTCACTGTCCAAGTTTCATATGCATATGAGAATATTTAAAATGCCATGGCTTGTGTCAGGCACACCTTAGTCCTCAAATTGACATCTGTGCACTTGAACACTTTACAGAGGTCTTATGCAACAGGTTTGCCTAATGTAATATGCCATTTGATTTCTTGACTGCTGCTTTCATTAACGTTGATAGTGGATCCAAGCAAAATTTTACAACTTCAATGTTTTCTCCATTGATCTTGATGTTTATTGGTCCAGTTGTGAGAATCTTGATTTTCTTTACATTGAGCTGTACACTGAAGGTGGGATCTTTGATTTTCATCAATAAGTATTTTAAGTCCTCTTCACTTTTAGCAAGCAAGGCTGTATCACCTGCATCTTATGGGTTACTACTAATCAGTCTTCCTCCAATCCTGATGCCACATGCTTCTTCAGAAAATCCAGTTTCTCAGATTATTTGATCAGCATACAGATTGAATAAGTATAGAGATTGAATAAGTATAGTAAAAGAAGACAACCCTGGCACACACCTGTCCAAAACATAGTGACCCTGAATAGAGTTTCTGTAGAGCAGCTGATGGCTTTGAACCACTGGCCTTGAGATTGGCAGTCTAATGCTTATTCTACAGCATCACACCAGGACTCCTGTGTAATGCACTGTAATCCAATACCCACCAGCCACATGTTCTGTTGTGTATAGGGTCGCTTTGAGTCAGAACCAACTTGAGGGTAACAACAACAATGTTGTAGGTAATGGCTAACATATGGTACAAAGCTACAGGTTTAAATAGTGGATAACACTTCAATGTGAAGAAAATATAGATTCTTACAACTGGACCAATCAATAAACAACATTAAGATAACTAGAAAAAAAGATTGAAGTTGTAAAATTTTGCTTGGAGGAAAACAAACAAATGGAGGTGAAAGAGGAAGCCTAGGAAATATTATTTCCAGTGGAAAGAAGGGGCTTTCAGGGGAGCATTTGGAGATCTAGTCACAGAGACAAATGCTGGCCCTTCTCCAAGGCCCTTCACCAGCAGGTGGCAAGTTTGGTTAGAGACCAAAACAAATCCACATTGGTTACCTACTCCTGTATGTACGGTATCTATATCTTGGGTGATTTCTGTGTGGCCCCCATTCACTCCCAGCCACAATCCCTATCTTTAAGTGTGTGTGCTTGCAATGTTTGCTTTTCTTTAGATGCGTGTCATTGTTGCTAAGTGCCATACAGTCAGTTCCAACTCATAGCGACTCTGGAGCAGCTGGTGGCGGTGGCTTTGAACTTCCAACCTTGTGGTTCACAGTCCAGTGCTGATCTTAAAGTTAACTAACAAAACACTGGAGTCCTGGTGTGGTGATAGAGGCTAAACACTGGATTGCAAGATCAATTTGTTGTTTTATGTGATGTTGAATTGGTTCCGATTCATAGCAACTCTGTATAAGGTTTCTGAGGAGCAGCTGGAAGATTAGAACCACCAACCTTACAGTTCAAACCAACCCTATAGTCCAATGCTTATCCCACAATATACTGAATTACCTTCTAGGTCTTCAACCTAACACATACTTAGGTTCGTGCTTCTGTCCCTTTTGGGGACTTGATTTTGAAAACAGTCACAGCATCCTAACCTATTGGTGGAGAAACCTACCAATGTGTTTGCATGCACAACAGAAAACACACCAAACTGTGAAGATCCATTGGCCCGCTAGAATTTGAGGCAATGCTCCTTTGTAGTGATTTTAATTTTTATGAAAATTACAATTTTCAGAAGTATATCTGGGATGATGTCTAATTAAAAAACACTTTGCTTGGAATATTGTCTTTTATTTGATGTGAAAAGGCAGATACAGACTTTTTAAAAAGATGGTCCAAAAGGAAATTGCAGCACTGAACAACCTAAAAAAGGAATTAAGAAAGCAATTCCAGTTATATTGGTATCTAAAATAGTAAAATACCTACCAATACATTTAAATAGGGAGATAAAAGATATGTACACTGAACACTATGTTGTTGTTAAGTGCCGTTGAGTCGGTTCCGACCCATAGCGACCCTGTACAGGGTTTCCGAGGGTGTAAATCTTTACGGGAGTAGAAAGCCTGATCTTTCTCCCGCGGAGCAGCTGGTAGTTTCAAACCGCTGACCTTAAGGTTCGCAGCCCAATTCGTAACCACTACGCTACCAGAGCTCCTTAACTGAACACTATAAAACCTGCTAAAAAGAAATTAAAGAGGACCTAAACAAATAAAGGAGCTCTGGTAGCGTAGTGGTTACAAATCGGGCTGCGAACCGAAGGTCAGCAGTTCGACACTACCAGCTGTTCCGCGGGAGAAAGATGAGGCTCTCTGCTCCCGTAAAGATTTACAGCCTCAGAAACCCTGTACAGGGTCGCTATGAGTAGGAACCAACTCCACGGCACACAACCACCACCAACCAAATAAATGGAAAGGTATCCTTGTTGTAAGTAATAACTAACATATTATACAGTACACAGCTAGAGGTTTAAATAGTGGATTGGCACCTCAATGTAAAGAAAACATAGATTCTCACAAATGAACCAATAAACAATGTTATTTATGGGGCTGGGGCACTGAAGGAGAGGACAGACCGTCTCTTCCACAAAATGGTCCCCACATGCAAAAGAATGAAGTTGGACCCATACCTCAGACCACATAGGAAAATTAACTAAAAATGGATCAGTGGCCTAAATATAAGAATTGAAACCATAAAACTCATAGGGAAAAACAGAGAGGTCAAACTTTGGGACCTGGTTTTTGACAATAATTTCTTATCTATGATACCAAAAGAAGAAGAAGAAAAACTGGCAAATGTCATCAAAAACAAAACACCTTTTTGTATCAAAGATTTTATCAACAAAATGAAGAGACAATCTACAGATTGGGACTAAATATTTGAGAACCATGTATCTGATAAGGGTTTAATATCTAAAAAATATAAAGAACTCTTCCAACTCGACAAACAACCCAATTAGAAAAAGGGCAAAGAACTTGAACAAACATCTCTCCAAAGAAGATATACAAATGGCCACCAACAAACACATGAGAAAATGTTCAATATCATTAGTCGGTGTTAAGTGTCGTCAACTCGGTTCCTACTCATAGCAAACCTATGATCACAAAATAAAACACTGCCTAGTTGATGGTCTTCCTCTTTTACAATGGCCCTCTATTCTACCTAGCATAATATTCTTATCCAGGGATTGGTCCAGGGTTCAGAAGCATGAACCCAAGTATGTGTTGGGTTGAAGACCTAAAAGATAATTCAGTATATTGTGGGTTAAGCATTGGACCACAGGGTTGGTTTGAATTGCAACGTTGGTGGTTCTAATCTACCAGCTGCTCCTCAGAAACCCTCATAATACGTCCAAAGCACATGAGACAAAGTCTTGTCCTCACTTCTAGGGAACATTCGGACTCTACTTCTTCCAAGACAACCCATGGAATACTGAATATTCTTTGCCAACAACACAATTCAAAGGCATCAACTTGTCTGTTGTTTCCCTTATTCATTGTCCAGATTTCACATATATATGAGTCGACTGAAGAAAATATAGCTTGGGTCAGGTGCCCCTCAGTCCTCAAGTGACACCCTTGATTTTTAACATTTTAAAGAGGTCTTTTGCAGCAGATTACCCAATGTAATATACATTGTTAGATTTCATGGCTGTTGCTTCCAGAGGCAGTAATCCAAGTAAAATGAAGAGAAATGCAAAGCAAAACCACAGTGAAATATCAATTCATACCACCTGTTGTTGTTATGAAGTGTCATCGAGTCGATTCCGACCCATGGCGACCCTGTATAGGGTTTCCAAGGAGCAGCTGATGCGCTTGAACCACGGACCTTGCAGTTCAAACAACTTTGCAGTCTGACACATTAGCCCACAGTGCCACACCAGGACTCCATTCATACCCACTAGTATGGCTATTTTCAGAAAAATAGAAAATAAAAAGTACTGGTGAAGATATGGAGAAATTGTAAACCTTGTATACTGCTGGTGGGAAAGTAAAATATCACAAAACAGTGTGACAGTTCTTCAAAAAGTTAAACATAGGTTATCAGGACTGATTGTGAGGGTTGGAAATGTAAAGGTAGACGTTTTATAGTAAGGAGGGGAGTGATTAACTTTTCAGTCTAGGAGCGGATGCAATGAAATGCACACGGGACTCTTGTGATACAATAGTGAATAATTGTTATCAGGACTGACTGTGAGG